TGCACCCCATGGTACATGCAGGGGAGGGGGTGATGATAAATGCACCTCACGATGGATGCAGGAGCCAGATCATGAAGGGCCACAGAAAGCAGCTAAGGAATTTATGCCAATGGTTGTGGGACTCTGCTTATATAAGAATTGACATCACCAGGTTTTTATTTTATAGGAATAACTCCCAGCTATGTAGAGAATGGAATAGAGGAGATAAGACTAGAGGCTGGGGCCCAGATATCTATATTTGTTTGAGAGCAAGTGACCAAAAATAATATTTTGTGTCCAGGCACAGTGGCTCACACCTGTAATCTCAGCACTTTAGGAGGCCAAGGCCAGATCACCTGAGGTCAGGAGTTTAAGAGCAGCCTGGCCAACATGGTGAAACCCCGTCTCTACTGAAAATACAAAAATTAGCCAGGTATGGTGACACACACCTGTAATCCCAGTTACTCAGGAGGCTGAGGAAGGGAGCATCTCTTGAACCAGGAGGCAGAGGTTGCAGTGAGCCAAGATTGCACCACTACACCCCAGCCTGGGCAGCACAGCAAGACTCCTCTCAAAAAATATACGTAAATATGTTTTCTGGGAAACAGAGACCACCATGTAAATGACATTTGCTTGCTGTTTTGTATGCAGTTCCACCTTCAGCCTTTTTTTAAATTCCTTTCCTACACATAGATATCTTTATTAATCCCGTGATGTCTCCTGATTGGAGGGTTTCTAGTGTGGTTGACATTTTGTTGTTACGCAACTTGAATTTAAATTCAGTCCTCTAGCTAGGCTTTCATTCTGGGCTTGGTAAACTGCCATGTGCCTTTAGACCTTTCCATAAAAAATAATTTATGAACTTTTGAGCAAGATTGGTGTTCCCAAAGCTAAAGCCAGACCCTTGAGACTTAGCTAGCCTTAATCTAAAAAGATATAAGTAAAAGGACGGTTATCCCAAATTGGAAGAAAAATATTGCCCTTGCCTTTACTGTGTACTTCCATATTTAAATTCAGACTGACTCATATTTTCTAGATCTGTCTACTTGACTCCCTAGCTGGAGCTCCCAGGGGGATGTCTTTCGCCTGGAGACTTATTCAGGTCTCCAGCAACTATTCCATACGCCCATCTCACCCTCCTCCTCGTTCGGGAAGATTTAATGTGAAAATGTAGCATAAACAGGGTCTTAAATCTTGTCCTAAGAATTTGATAATGACAATACGAAAAGGCCATCTTGGGTCTTGGTGTCCTGCATTAAACAAACAGACTCAAAATTTATAATAACACTACAAACACTCTATAGGTCATAGGCGTCTTGAGTCACATCATATAAAATAAAGCATTTTTAGATATTCTTAAGGAAAGGTCAGCAGGACCAAAATTATCCTTCCTTTTATGGTTAAGTTTATACTGAGGAGAATTTTTTTTTAATAATCTGGAATTTGCATTTGCATTTTCCATTTGTGACCAAAAAAACACAAAACTATGAAGGGACTGAGGCTGACTTTCAGGCCTTCTCCCATTGGTTCCTGTTGGGCCCAGCAAGTCCCTGTGCAAAGCTATGAGAAGGCAAAGGTGATTTCTAAGACCTGTTTGGCAATGGATATATCCCCTCCATGGTGACGAAACATTGCAAGTTATGGGGTGTATTTCATGACAGCATGTTAGCCACAAAGGGTGCTCATGCCTCAGAAATGGTATACGTAGACAAAGACCCTAAACAGATTTACAGAAGCTCCTGCCAGCACCTCCAACAGCTACTGCCCTTGTAACCACTGGATATTTGGCCACTTTGGACCCTACGAGTGTGAGAATCTTTCTCAAACGCTGACATACATCTAGGAAGGAGCCAGGTGGTCCACCTGGCCTAGTAAGGTGACTCTTTGAAGTTGATCTCTACTTTGACACCAGATAGGGTCCAAAAGAAGGTCCATACCAAGGCAACCTGAAACAATGGGAATAAATATGACTATGTTTCTTTTCTTTTTATTATTTTTTTTTTCAGACAGAGTTTCGCTCTTGTTGCCCAGGCTTGAGTGCAATAGCACCATCTCAGCTCATTGCAACCTCTGCCTCCCGGGTTCAAGCAGTTCTCCTGCCTCAGCCTCCCAAGTAGCTGGGATTACAGGTGGCTGCCACCATGCCTGGCTAATTGTATTTTTAGTAGAGATGGGGTTTTGCCATGTTGACCAAGCTAGTCTCAATCTCCTGACCTCAAGTGATCCACTCACTTTGGCCTCCCAAAGTGCTGGGATTACAGAGGTGAGACACCGCGCCTGGGGCCAACTATGTTTCATTTTTACTGAAAACAACAAACAACAACTTGGGAATTAAACATAGCCAACACAGATTTAAATAGAAGGAAATGTTAAGGAGCCATATTCCAAACTAGAATCAGATGCCCTTTCCTACTTTTCAAGTTTTGAGTGTTTGGTGAAGGATGCCATGATTTGAAAAAGGCAAAACAGGCTTGGGATGAGACCCCCATCTAGAAAGGGTCATCTCTAAAACTGCCTGATTATCTGGTGGGAATGCTATCTCCTCACTAAAAGCCTGTGGTTAGATTAATGCTAGCATCTGAAAATCTGCTAAGGCCTGATGGTGGGCAGCCAAGGAAGGAATGTGTTTTCTGTTTATCTCTTTAGTGTCAGAAATGTTCATCACAGAAAGACTGTGAACTCCCAGTTTCGGGCATGCCTGGAAGTTGTGTAGTCTATAGTCTGTATAAACTGTAAAAAACGGAATGTGCACACCAGATTCTGAACGAGAAAAAAGAACCAAGCCTTTGTTTTCGGCCAGTTGCCTGGTTGGTCGATGGGTTAATCAGTTTCTTTGACTTGATAACAGGGATAGATCTGAAAGAAGGTTTTACCACCCCCACTGCTCTATCTCCCTGGAATGCAGCTTGAGTTGTGTCTCCTCCTTGATAGCTTGGACCTCAGCAAATTACCAAGGTCTTGACCCAAGAGATGGAAAAGTCCTAAGTGATTTTTCAGTCTCCTATCTAAAAATGTGTTTACATTTCTTGAACTCTGGCTGACTGATTCATTCTCCTGGTGTTGCAAGAACTTTCCTTATGCATTAGAATTTATAAGTTTCATTTCTAAGAGGCCCATGGTTCCTTCCAAGCCACAGTGAAGTGAACCTCATCACAACACAATTCTGCTGGGCTGGATTTGTCCTGCGGGTGGATCATGGCCAAGCAGCTGTGATGTGGCAAGCTCAGTGAGGCTAATGGGAGGCGGTGTGACGTGGAGCAGAAAGTGCAAGACACTAAGTCAGGACATCTGGGTTCTGTGCCCTGGTCTTGTGTTATTTCAAGGTGCGGCCATCAGCCAATTGAATGAAAACACTTTCAGGGCCTCAGTTTCCCCCAAGCTGATTTAAATTTAAAAAAAAATTTTTTTTTTTTTTTTGAGACACAGTCTCACTCTATCACCTAAGGCTGGAGAGCAGTGGTGCAATCTTGGCTCAATACAACCTCTACCTCCCTGGTTCAAGTGATTCTTGTGCCTCAGCCTCCTGAGTAACTGGGATTACAGGCATGCACCACCATACCATCCTAAGAAATGTTCTAAATCTGTGCAAAAGTCATTTTCAAAGACAGAAGAAGATAGCTGAGAAACAACAGAAATGGGAAGGTCAAGCCCACAAATAATGAGTAGAGTCAAGGTCAAAAAGACAAAGAGACAGGGTCGTATACAGCCATTGGCTCCTAAAAGAGCTACTTATGAGTACCTAGTATGGAAAGAACTTTTTGCTGGACACCGGTCCCATAGAAGAGTGGCAGAAATGTTTATCACAGAACTGTGAACTCCCAGTTTCAAGCGTGCCTGGAGTTGTGCAGAAGAGACTAAAATCCTTGTCAATAGAGCCATGTGCTTAGCTAACTCTGTTCCTCAGGTAAACATACCTTTAGAATATTAAACTTACTTTATTTTTTGAGATGGAGTCCCGCTCTGTCACCCAGGCTGAAGTGCAGTGGCACGACCTCAGCTCACTGCAACCTCTCCCAGGTTCAAGCATTCTCCTGCCTCAGCCTACTGTGTAGCTGTGACTACAGGCATGCACCACACACATCTCACTAATTTTGGTATTATTAGTAGAGATGGGATTTCACCATGTTGGCCAGGCTAGTCTCAAACTCCTGGCCTCAAGTGATCTGCCCACATCTGCCTTCCAACGTGCTGGGATTACCGGCATGAGCCACCACACCTGACCAAATTTACTTTCTTAAAGGAAAAAAAAGAAAAGCAAAATAAAACCTATCCTTTTGCACTATGGAGTTTTAGAGTAGGGCAGTCTTAGAGGGAAATCCTCACTCAAAAACCTCACTAATTGTACAACCTTGAGTGGGTTACTGTGCCTTCTGAGCCTCAGCTGCCACACCTCTAGAGAACAGTGGTAACAACAGCCACGGAGGGGAGACATGGGCATCACACCGCAGCCCCGCGCTGGTGTCCGCTGCTTCCCGGCAGGCTCCACGGTTTCCATGGCTTCTGTTAGTCTACTCCCTCCAGCCCCACTTTGGCCTTTGCCTTTGTTTGATTCATGCTTCCACCTCTCCTCTTGCCCGGCCACGTTATAAGAGAAAAGGGAAGTCTCTGATCTATTTGGAAGTTTGCAGAAGCATGTTCCTACTTCAGTGAAGTGCAGTCATACAAAATTTATACTCAACAGCATCAGCAGATTTTTTTCCATCAATATTTCCTTTTTAATTTCAGCTTTATCTGAATTTTAATAGCATAAAAAATTCACTTTTGTTCTTTTAAAGAGCAACCAAAACAAGAATAATATCTATTTGAATATAAGGTCTTAAAGCTATATTTAACATGGTGTTTAGACTATGCCTATAGAGGTTACAGGTGTTATTTGGTGAGTAAATTATGAATGCCATGGCTGTATATGTGCTTATAATCTTACACACATATGAACTAGGTGTGTGTATGGTATATATAAAAAGTCATGAGATCCAGATCTGACCACCTTGATCTTTGTTCCTCTTTGATTTTCACTATAGCAGACACTGAAACTAGAGCCGATCTTCACATGAATCTTTATGAAGCCTCACCGTTGACCCAAACAACAGAGAAGCAGGTACAGTATTGACTCTGAATGAGGATGGCATTGGGAGTCACAACTCTTGGGTTCTTGTCTCAGCTTGCTGTGTAGCCCTAGGTGAGACTCTTTAGCTCTCTGGTCCTCATTTGCCTAATCAGTAAAATGAGACAAGTAGACTCTGAAATCACAGGGGCTCCTTTACTCCTTGGAAAGTCTTAACTTGGACCGTATCATTTAGCTCTTTATTTGTGTGTGAATAAGCTGAATAGGCCTTTCCCTGACTTCTGCAAAGTCAAAAAGGGAATAAGGGAACATAAAAAGGTGGCATTCAATGAGGCAGTAGGCACTAATTTTCATTCGTAATACAGATAAAAATTAGCAATTAAGATGAAAAAAGTGCAAGGGTAATCATAAAGAAAGGAGGATGGTGCTTCATCTGGATAAATTAAGAATTTCTATTAGCAGGACGGTCGCAGTGGCTCACGCCTGTAATCCCAACACTTTGGGAGGCTGAGGTGGGTAGATAACCTGACGTCAGCCGTTCGAGACCAGCCTGACCAACATGGTGAAACCCCATCTCCACTGAAAATACAAAAACAAATTAGCCAGGCGTGGTGGCACGCACTTGTAATCCCAGCTACTTAGGAGGCTAAGGCAGGAGAATTGCTTGAGCCTGGGAGGCGGAGGTTGCAGTGAGCTGAGATCACACCCCTGCACTCCAGCCTAGGCAACAAAGCGAGACTCCATCTCAAAAAAAAGAAAAAATTTCTATTAGCAGGCAGGTCGAGGTGGCTCACACTCACATCAGCTCAGGCCTGTAATCCCAGCACTATGGGAGGCTGAGGCAGGCAGATCTCCTGAGGTCAGGAGTTCAAGACCAGCCTGTACAACATGGTAAAACCCTATCTCTACTAAAAATACAAAAATTAACCGGGGATGGTGGCAGGTACCTGTGCTCCCAGCTACTTGGGAGGCTAAGGCAAGAAAATTGTTTGAACCCAGAAGGTGGAGGTTGCAGTGAGCTTAGATCATGCTGTGGCACTCCAATCTGAGTGACAAAGCGAGACCCCGTCTCAAAAAAAAAAAAAAGAATATCTATTAGTGGTTCAAGGACATATGTTCACAAATATTTATAAGTTTGCTCCTTCCATGGAAGCTTTGAAGCTGGAACTGTCTTCAAATTCTCTCTAGAGAGGCAACTCAGGGGAATTCCTAGGGCCTCAGAAAATCTGACGCAGAGGCAGCACACGCAGCTCCAGGGGCCTCGCAGGTCTCACCCTGCTGACACCTCCGGGCTGTGATCTTGATTTCTCCATTCTCTACACCTTCCTTCCTGCCATGGCCTGGATTTCCCTTCTTCCCCAGCACTCACTATATATAATGATAATAGAAACATGTTTGCGGCCAGGCACAGTGGCTCACACCTGTAATCCCAGCACTTTGGGAGGCCGAGGCAGGTGGATCGCGAGGTCAGGAGTTTGAGACCAGCCTGGCCAACATGGTGAAATCCCGTCTTTACTGAAAATACAAAAATTAGCTAGGCGTGGTGGTAGGCACCTGTAATCCCAGCTACTCAGGAGGCTGAGGCAGAATTGCTTGAACCTGGGAAGCAGAGGTTACAATGAGCCAAGATTGCGCCACTGTACTCTAGCCTGGGTGACAGAGCAAGACTCTGTCTCAAAAAAAAAAAAAAGAAAGAAAGAAAAGAAACAGAGAAACATGTTTGCTTTCATCTGCATGCCTGAGCTGGGCTCTGAGGTGGGACTTGAACTCTCTGTGACAACCCCAGGCCTGGGTCAGGCCTCCGCTGAGGTGAAACACAGCTGAGCAGCTCCTCCCAGCTTCCAAGCAGCTGCAAAATCAACATTTGCATTTTTTAAATGCCCACTTTGCAGACATCCCATATAAGGGATCTAGAAACAGAGTTTTTTAAAGAGTCTGTGACTAAGGAAAACATGATATAGTATATTTTGATAATTCTGCAACCCCAAAGACCATGCAAAGGCCTCACCTACCCCAAACACACTCCAAATTCACACAGCCCCACAGTTCTGTTCCATAAGACCCACTATCACCTGCAATGAAAGAGGGGCTCAGCCAGGCACAGTGGCTCACACCTATAATCCCAGCACTTTGGGAGGTTGAGATAGGCAGAGCTCGAGGTCAGAAGTTCAAGACCAGCTTGGCCAACATGGTGAAACCCCATCTCTACTAAAAATACAAAAATTAGCTGGGCGTGGTGGCGGGCGCATCTGTAATAGCAGCTACTTGGGGGGGCTGAGGCAGGAGAATGGCCTGAACCCGGGAGGTGGAGGTTGTGGTGAGCCAAGATCATACCACTGCACTCCAGCCTGGGCAACAGAGCAAGACTCCATCTAAAAAAAAAAAAAAGAGGGGCTCAACATGTCAAATTAAATCCTAGGCTGAATTATTAACTATGTAGTCAGGAAAAGGAACACCAGAGCAAGGAGTTTTAAACTCTTATCCCCTGCAAGGCTGTGGAAAGTCAGCTGGCTGAGAAGCCCTTGCGCCTGCCTCTGGTGGGTGGCTCCCATCAGAACCCGTTGGTTTGTCCAAGATGCAGTAGTCCCAATTCCTTTACAAGCAACCCTGAAAAGAAAGGGCATCTGAGGAGAAGTCTAGGGACCCCACCAGCCCCAAACACAGAGAAAACAGGGTGGGAGGGAGGTGGGAGTGACTTCCTGGCCCCCTGCACCCCGGCTCACTTCTCAAGGCTAATGGCCTCTTACTAGATTAATCACTGACTTCAGTTTTAACTACTTCCTCGGCCTACTCCAAGGCAATGACTAATTTCATGTTTATTATAAAGCATCTGAAACACATTTAGGAACAAATTTCTGCCCAGCCGACTTCAGTTCCCTACCTTGATGGGCCACTGGCAATCCAGGGGATTCCTTCCCCTGTGGCCTTTCCCACCCTGAAGCAGAGGACACCACAATACTGATCTTAGCAGCCGTTCCTTTCCATCAGTTCCCCCACTGACTTCCCACTCCTTCCCTTCCTCGGGATCAGACCCGATTAGGGGTTCAGTCACATGAAAGACTTGTACTTTTATCACAGCGCTAGCTGAGAGAGGGGAAGACATGCCAAAGGTGGATATTCTGGTATTACCACCCTCTAATAAGAAGTTGCAGACCTAGATTTGGAAAACAATCTCTGGCGTGTGGGTTGGGGAGAAAGCCAGGCCGTGCTCTGCAGAGGCTGGGGTGATGGTTTCCTGAGCTGGAGGCTTCTCCGGAGGCCCTACCGCGGCGATGGGAGAGCCGTCACCTTGTCTCTTCGGAGGCTGTTCGCGCTGCAGTGGGAGCAGAAAGGGTTAGGCTCCTTCCTCCAACACACGATGAGGATGGCAAATAGTGGGAACGGCTCCCAAGGCACCCCTTCCACACCTGACCCGAGGAGCGGGGCCTCAGCGGTGAATCCATCAAAAGAAACGAGAGTAGCAACTGACATCAGCAACTTCCTAGGAGTTGGAAGAGGGGGTGAGTGGGTGGGGGGAGGGGGGAAGAAAACTACAAGGGGAAATGTGGAGATGAAAAGAGAGCAATGAAAAAAGAAAAAGGAGACAAGCAGACATGTTTCAACTCCAAGTTCCCATTTCCTCTTTCAAATGAACTGCTTCCCCACTGTGAACAGAATCAAGTATTTATGAAGGCATTTTTTGCATATTAATAACTGCATATGGAGCATCGCCAGTGCTGAAGTCCTAAAGGTACGGTGCCCTTTTTTAATGCAGGTCTTTCAAACTCCTCACAGAATTTGGTATTCTCCTTCAGATTTATTTTCATTTCTGCCTCGTGGCTCCTCCTAAGGCCCTTCATTTGATTAAGGGAAATTAGTTTCTGGGATACCTTCAGAGACTGAGTATTGCTCTTACCTCGGCGGGCCACTGACATCAATCGCGGGAGAAGCTTTTCCTCTCCCCCAAGGCCTCTCTGTGTAGAGGCCGCAGGTTGGGTAAGGTGACCAGCACCTAAAAAGAGTATTAAAATTATAAACGAAAATTTCAGGAGGAAATATTAACATAGCTAGACAGTGATAGGAGAAAGTAAAACTGAAAAAAAAAGTAAAATAATTTCATTAACTTTAACATTACTATCTACACTCAGTAAAGATTACCTGCAATTTTGAAAGAAAAACATTGAGAACCATAATGAGAAAAATAAGCAAAAGATAGAAACAATTCATATCCATAAAGGAGTAACAGAAAATAAATGCGAAAAAATTATTCATCTTGATTAGCAATTTAAATGCATATTGAGGCAAACTGTAAGTACCATCTTATATCTGAGATCTGTACCTCCTCTTACTCTTTTTAAATGGTAACACCCAGGGCTGCCAGGGTTTTGGTAAAACTAATATATGCTTCTGGTGAATCACAGTCTTGGTTCAATCGCTTTGTAAAGCAAAATGGCAATATAACTCATGAAACATGAAAAACATAAAATATCCATTGATTATGTATTTCTGACTCCTGGGAATTTATCCTAAGGAAATAATTCAATGGAAAAAAAAAAAAAAGTCAGTGAAGATGTCCTTTGCAGCATTATCTATAATAGAGAAAAACTACCACTTTGGGAGGCCAGGGTGGGTGGATCACTAGGTCAGGAGTTTGAGACCAGCCTGGCCAACATGGTGAAACCCTGCCTCTACTAAAAATACAAAAACTAGCCAGGTATGGTGGCAGCCGTCTGTAATCTCAGCTACTTGGGAAGCTGAGGCAGGAGAATTGCTTGAACCTGGAAGGCAGAGGTTGCAGTGAGCCAAGATCGTGCCATTGCACTCCAGGCTGGACAACAAGAACAAAACTCAGTCTCAAAAAAAAAAAATTGAGAAAAACTGGAAACAGCCTAAGGGTCTAACATCAGAGAAATAATTTTGGGGAGGTTTAGAATCTTGTGGCCTCCAGCCACATGACTCCAAAACCGTAATTTCTAATTTTGTGGCGAATTTGTTAGTCCTGCGAAGACAGTCTACTTCCCAGGTAGGAAGGGAGTTTGTTTTGGGAAAGGGCT